GGAGCAAGCAGCCCATTGCCCATCTCATGTTGCTCATCTCGCCCTCATCTCTTCCATCTCTTGTTCTTGATTCCTCCCTTCCTCCCCACAGCTCCTGGCCCTTGAAGTGCGGTATGCTGCAGGTCCCACCACTGGCCCCACTACAGGGCACCCGGACAGGAGGCTCTGGGCATTTATTCCACGCTCATTCAGCTCAACCAGGGTAGCATAAAGACTTGTAGAATATTTGGGTTTTTTTTTACCTTGTTAAAATAAAAAGACAATCTCAACCTACAGCCAACCAGGTTCCCGAAACCCACATCCTCCCATCTATCCTGATCTCTTTCCTCCTCTCTCCATGTGAGTGATCTGGACCCTCTCAATGAAGGAGCTCACCCTACCACCTCGGAGAGACATGTCCCCAGACACAACAGTTTGAAAGCAGGAGCTACCCATTGCTGGCACCTTTTCATGACATGGATGTCTCCGAGTCTAGAAAAACCATGACTTTGGCCATGCTACCTCCACCGCCAAGCCTGTGTCAAAGCACTGCAGTGCTGGCAGAGGCAGGATGGCTACCAGCTGCTGTAACAAGCTGTGTCGATGTCTATTTATTAGCAACAAAAAGAGGGGGAAAAAAAGGATTTGGATTATAGACACTATGATTGAAATTTAAAGAAAGACAGACTGGTTTCCAACTCAAAACGCAAACTCAGAGGGGAAAGCAGTAGATGGTAATCTAAACAGCAAGCTGATGACATACAAGAGATACACAAATGATATACAAAGAACAAAAACAAGGAGTGAGAACAAGAATAAGGGGAAAAACAAAACCAGAGTTGAAAAGAAGAGGGATGAAACAGAAAAGAAAGGGAGGGGGAGAAAGAGGTGGAAATAATAAGGAATCAAAAGAAATAGCAAAGGAAAGAGAGGGTAAACAAAAGAAAACACAGTGAGAAAAAAGGAATTAGAGACATCAGAGATGGAGCAAACTCATGCAGAGAACAAAGAGGGGAATGTTGGGCAGCCCCAGACAAAAACTAAGACAAGACAGCATGAAAGACAAGGATAAAGTGGAACAAAAATAGCACCAATGTGGAAGACATGAAGGGAGTGAAGGCACTGGTGTGATAGCATGAGAGCCAAGGGGCAATGCTGAGCATAGGGCAGGGAGGGAGTGCAGTGCTGGGACAGACACGCTCTTGTGCTGACCTCCTGCCTCCAGCACTGGGGTGAGGGATGGGCCTGGGGAGCAAAGGGAGCAGGTCACAGCAGAGCCCCATGGCCAGGGCTGGAGGGGTCTCTTCCCACCCTGGGGAAACAGTGTCCCAGGCTGCCTGGGTTGGAGCCAGCTCTACCCAATGAAACCCCCCTGAAGATGCAGCAGCTTTTCAGGTGCCTTAAGCCACTGTAACATCACTAGTGGCAGGGGGCTGCCCTCCTTTCATCTATCATCCCTCCCTTCCCACAACCAAAGCTGTCTTGCCCCCTGATTTACTCTGTGTGGGGTCTCAGATGGGCACAAGGCAGAGCAAGGGCAAACTCAGGGTCCAGTTGGCTCCAGAACTGGAGCTGCTGGACAAAGCTGAGCCCAGCGCTGGAGCTGGTGGCACCTCTGGGACAATGTATTTAAGAAGGGGTAAAAAAAGGAGTGAGAAAACAGCCCTGAAGACACCCAGGTCAGTGCAGAAGAAGGGGAGGAGGTGCCTCAGGAGCAGAGACTCCCCTACACCCAGTGAAGACCATAGTGAAGCAGGTTGTCTTCCTGCAGCCCATGGTGGAGCAGATACCAGCCTGTAGCCTTTGGAGGATCCCACAGTGGAGCAGGTGGAGATGCCCTGGAGGAAGCTGCGTCCCATGGAGAGCCCACATTTCAGCAGGTTTTCTTGCAGGAACTGTGGTCCATGGGGAATCTCCACTGGAGCCGTTTGTGAAGGACTTTGTACCATGGAAGTGACCCCCTGGTAGCACAGGGGGAAAACGTTAGGAATGATCAACACAGATCAAGCGTTACAGACTGACTTCAACCCCCGTCCCATTCACCTGCACTGCCTGGAGAGCAGAGAGCTGAGCCTGGAAAAACAGGAGTGTTGAGCAGAAGGTGGTTTTAGTTCAGGATTTGTTTCTCCCCATCCCACTCTGTTTTAAATGGCAATAAATGAAATTACTTTTCCCCAAGTCAAGTCTGTTTTGCTCATGATAGCAACTGGCAAATGATCTCTCTGCCTTTCTCTTGACCCAGAACCTTTTCCATCCTATTTTCTCCCCCTGCCCTGTTGGGGGCCAGTTTTCCCAGGATGAGGCTTCAAACACATTTTCAATGCTGAGGAGCACTGCAGGAAACAACCCAGCCTCCTCAGGAGCACTCTGCAAGGCTACAATGATCCTCACAGTAGATATTCTGCTCTCAAAATGCCAGAGGTTGTTCCTGGTTTAGTGCTGGGTGCCAATTCTGTATCTCAGCACAGCAAATCACTTTGTCCCCACTCTGCTGTTATTTTCCTCCCGGCTGTCATTTCTAAAGAGCACAGTTAGAAAACACTTCCTGCATGGGTTCTTGCCTAACTATGAAATACTTGCCTATAACAGTAAAACCTAGAATTACAATAGCCAGGAAAGACATTTGGAGAGCTATTACCAACCACATCTCAGCCACCAGATGGGAATAAAATAAGAAACTCCTCCTCTGGGTAGCTCTCCAGGTTATACAATCTTTCCTCTTGTTATTTTGCCTTCTGTCAGAGCAACAGCACTTGACACGGAGGATCAGGATGGCTCTTCTAGGTAGTGATTCCTGCATGCTTTCAAAATAAATATTTACCAGGTTAGGAGAGCCTGGAGCTAATGCCTAGGTTATTAGTTTTCCAATAGGACTGCCTTGAGCACAATGAGCGTGCAGGTATCTTGGCTCCAAGTGCAATCCTAAACACTTGGGCCAAATTCTCAGCTGAGGCTTGCAGGAGTTAACCAGACCACCAGTGCTGCAAACAGGCCCCTCTATTCTGCTCTTGTGAGACCCCACTTGGAGCACTGTGTGCAGTGCTGGTGCAAGATGCCCTAGTGGAAGATGTCCCAGCCTGTGGCAGAGGGCTGGAACTGGATGAGCTTTAAGGTTCCTTCCACCCAAGCCAGTCTGGGATTCTAGGAACTGACCCTTTCTTCCCTACTATAAATTCCTATCTCAGCCCGCAGGTAAGACCTCCTGGGGTGAGGAGCCCCAGATGGCACAGGCTGCTGCACTCAGCTTAGACATGGGCAGGTATTTATCACAGTAACCCTCATGGGGTGTGACACTGAACCCACTCGCTCTTGACAAGGTATCCTGGATAATGATACTGCTGAGCTGGGATTTCAAGCTTGCGCAAGCCAGCAGAAAACTTGGTCCCACAAGCACCAACTTAGCTGAAAACCTGAATAAGCCGAGCAGCTTCACTGGCGTCAGAATCTTATGTGGCTCCTGCCTGTGGGAAGACTTAGGGGCATTAATGATTTGAGGAATTTTCTGATTTATAAGAACAGACATTCCAGGAACCACATCCTCCTAACTAACAGGATCAGCCCACGTACAAGATCTTGGCTTTTCAGTATAGATGCAGAAGAGCTCAGCCCCTCACCTTCCTGGCACCAGGCTGGTGTGGCTGGAAGGGTTTATGTCCCTAAAGCTGGTACAAAGTTTTTCTAATGTTTAAAGGATCATCTACAGAGGGCTTTGGTTTGGCATTTACAGGGAAGCACCCTTTAATATTTCATCTCAATGTCCTTGGAAATCCAGCTGAGGCTCCTTATGGTCAATATACACTTTTCACACTCCCCAACTCAATGCAAGATGACTTCTCATCTGCAAAGATGAGCTGCAGAGATTTCAAATGCCTAATTTCACACTGCAGAGTGGAGTGCTTAAATCTGTATGTATTAGCTGTGGATGAGTGCCCAAATTGCTCAGTGATCAAGCAGAGAGGCTTTTCTATTGGGAGTCCATGAGTTAAAACTTCTGACTTGGAAATGGCAGCAGTGTAACTTCATTTGAGGGCTTAGAGAGAACTTTCCCGAAGTTTGGCTCTCTGCCTGGAGCAGCACAAACACCCTGATAACGGCATCAGGAGAGTAAGAGCTCGCTGTTGCCTTCAATCTGCTGTAAGGCACATCAGATTGTACTGTTTTCTTCACAGAATCACACAACAGTCCATGTTTGAAGGGACTTTAAAGCTCATCCAGTTTCAACTCCGTGTCATGGACAGAAACAACCTTCCATTAGACCAGGTTGCTCCAAGTGTCGTCCAACCTGGCCTGGCCAACCAACCTTCTTACCTGGACCTTTCCCCTTAAGAAGTCTTGAGTGTGTAAAATGCACACAAGAAGAGCACAGGTTCTCACCTTGTGTCATCCTTCAGGAGAGCTGTGGCTGCAAATGGGGCACCTCATGATGGAGCTCCATGTACCACGCTCTGCCCAAACAGGCCCAAGGTTGGAGGCTACACTTACCTGGACTGACTGCTACTACCTGCATTGTCCTCAGCTCAGGTGGGAGAGCTGCTGCTCCTGCCAGCACTGCGACAGTGCACCCAAGAGACAGACTTACCTCCTGCATAGGAATGTATCTACCCACACCTCACTGTCCTTCACACGGATCACATCACCAACCAACCTTTTACTTAGGAGAAGATGGATACAGAAAGTGGGTCTAAGGAGGGCCCCAAGCTCTAGGTTACATTTAGAAACACCCAGACTGAGCACAGGAATGTATTTGCAAGCGATGCTTTTCTACCACGTTAACATCTCTTTTCAGCTTCTGGAATGTAAACTGCATTATCTTGGTGAGTGGCAGCGGCAGGGATGGATGAAATGGGAGGTTAATCGGCATCGGGCATCTCTCTTGATTTCGCCTTCATTTCCATTTCTTTTAAAAATGGAAGTTCCATTAAAACAGCAGCACTTTTCCATTAAATAAGTAACAGAGAAGAATGACTGCCTCTGTATCTCATCAGCAGTGAATCTTTTTAAAATCACTCAAGAGGCAAGGCTCAAATCATATATTTAATAGGAACCACTTTGAAATCACTTTTTAAAGCAATTAACATATTATTAGAGATAAGCGCAAGATGCAACACTTAGATCCAGATTTCCAAGACAGATTTCTATGGTTTCAGAGGGGGCAGACCTCGGGTCGTCGCCTCAGCAATCATCTCTGCATGTCACAAACCAATGTCAGAACAGAACTTCAGCTACACTCACACAGCAGATTCAATTTGCACTTTTAATCCCGATTTTACTCATGCTTCTTCTTTTCAGTCATTTGAAAGCACTCTATGTACACCATGGAGAATGGGGAAAACACCTCTTCAGGGTTTCTGCCCCACCTGAGGGTCCTGGAGTAACGTGTTCACCTCCACTGTCCCCTTCCTATTCGATAACGTTTTCTGTGTGGAGCACGAAGGAAAGGCATCTCTGAAACTTACTATTCCACAGGATAAAAGAGCCCATCACCAACAGGATCCTCATTGCCAGGTCGTCTTGTGTTGCCTGAGGACAAGGTCCCAAGTGCACACGCATCATCTCCAACAGGCCACACAAATGCCACCAAGGCAGCTGGTGATGCTCGGCGGTTGCTGCCTCCTGCGCCGAGCTGTGTGGACATTCCAGAGCGACTCTGGCTGACAATCCTGTGTGTTCAATAGAGCAAGCCCGTCCTGCCTGCCGGCTGAAGCACGTCCTGCCAACTGTGGTAGCCGAGGTGCAGCCACACATTCATCTCTGCTGCCGGTGACGGCGACAGAAACCTCCAGCAGCTGAAGCAGATGGAAGGCTGGCGGTGGTGACACCTTATACCACCAGATTAAATCTGACAAAGCCCATCTGTTGGCACCCTGAGCACTGGCAGAAGTAGAGCTGGACTGGGGAACCATGAATTAGAGCACAGGCAACATCCAAGGCTTTTTTGTTGTTTATCCTGAAACATGCAGGCTCTTCCCAACACTAAACAGTATGTGGCTTCCACTGATGACTGACAGCAACCTGATGGCTCAGTTACAGGGCATTTTACCATTTTGACCATTAGCTGTGAAGTCTCAAATCCCCCAGACTTTTCCTGGATGCCACCTCATCAATAAATAGCTTTCCTTGGGAGGCAGCAGCAATGCAAGGGGAAACACATCATGCATCTGAAGACATTGTGATGATATTGGTTTTGTAAGTGCTAAAATTTATTACACAAGAGATGATGCCACAGTGAGTAAGAGAGAAAAATTCTACATTGACTCCCTACTTTGCAATTCAGGACAACTAAGAGGTTTTGCTTCATTAAAGAAGGGAAAAAAATAGGAGACAACCCCAATGAACGAGGAAGTCTTGTCAAGCCTAAATGAACGATCAGTCCTATGCAATGCTCATGGGCTGTAGAAGGAACAATGAAAGATATCTGCTTCTGTACAATAAATTACTAAAACATCAGTTATAAACCTGCTGCATGGCACTGAAAATTAAACTCATTAAACATACAGGTAGCTTCATCCTGATGCAAATGGAAGACAGGCATGAGTGCTCTGCAGCAAACAACTCTGTGCACATCCCATCTTTGGGAAACATATTTACATGTACATCTCATATATTAACATTTTAGTGCACCCTAGCCAGAGGGCAACCAGAAACAATATTATTCTGTGAGAAGGACAGGAGATGGGCTGGCTTCTCCTCTCCACTGAGCGAATCCTGTATCCACCCATTAGTCTAGCATCCACAGAAAGCAACTTTGCAAGACCACGATTCCCTTTTCCAGACAGTCAGACATAGGACCCCAAACAAATGGTCTCCCATGATGGTTGGGTAGATCTGGTAGCCAAGATTACTGTGGGCCAAAACCAGCAGGTGAGATCGCCATATTAACAAGACTTAAATGACTTCAATGTCAAGAATTTCAGCCAAAGCGCTATTTACTGACCTCTTGCTCTCCCTCTCCCTTTCGTACTGCACCACAGCTCATGAAGGTTTGCAGCAACATGCACTGTTTGGGGTGGACCTTGACACCTTCACACTGCCCAGGCACAATAGGTGTGCTCAAGCCTCAGAAAGAGACCACCACTACAAAATTATGGAGACTGCCACTACTGGTATCTTTATTCAGAGCAAGGATGCCTTAAAAACAAACCCTATGGTCTCCGTAGGAGGGAAGCCCGAGCAGGACTTTCTCTTGCATTACCTGATGCCTTAAAAACAAACCCTATGGTCTCCGTAGGAGGGAAGCCCGAGCAGGACTTTCTCTTGCATTACCTGCTCTCAGTCTGTTGCACATATCAGCACATCCATCCTTATTTCTACAAGAAAAGAGGAAAAAAAAAGGGTAAAGATGGGTCTCCAGGGACACAGTGCAGGCCAATGGCCCTGCAAGGTGGGAAAGGTGGCTCTGAAGCTCCCCAGGTTTCCATGGAGCAGGAAGCATCCCACAAGCCTTACTCACCGTGTGCAAGTACAACTGACACCCAAAAGGGCAGGCAACTGCTCAGGCAGGCAGGCAGACATCCAAAGTCTTTTCCAAGAGAAACCCATCTGGAGTCTCCATAGAAGGGAGTGGTGCTGCATAGGCTGGCCTTGCCAACAGCAGCATGAGGGTGATAGAGAGGATGATGCAAGGGGAGACCAATGATTCTATTAAACAGGACTTTGTTTAATGACTAAGGGTTGGAAAGATCTACAGGAGCTACTGGGCGCACTTTGCCTCTCAAGAAGGTGGCTGCTAGATGCAGGGGCAACAAAGGGAAAAGGGAGAGAGGACTTAGCAAAGCACCACATCTTTCTAACTCAGCTCATTTGGGGCTTGGCAAACTTTCCCTATCACAAGCACTTAAGTTTTCACGCTTGCCAGGCAGGTAAATCCGGGGTCTTTCAACTCCCATCCTGGTGCAAACATACCTGGGCCTTTTGGAGAGCTTGGAGTTGTCTGGGAAAACAACAATTCGCTGCCAGTAAAATGCATACAAGACTGCATGAGCTTATTACAGTCATTCCAGCAGAAATAAGTGGTATCTTTTAGAGTGCTTGCCAGAAGAAAATAGCAGTTCTGACCCAATTTCACACAGTTGGAATCAGCTGTGGGAGACTAATATACAATAAAAATAAAAAGACAAATGCCCATTTCCCCCATGTCCTCTCCTAATAACATGAATAAAGCTCTGTTTTGATATTTCATCCTTTCCAAAGGAGTCCAGTCAGATCAGTCCAAGTCATCTGTGTTTTGAGTCAGACTCCTCTGATTCCTCCAATCTTTACTTGATGAAATTTTTAATCATCCACCTTTGTCCTGTGCAGCTGCGAAGAATCAGATCAATGCCGGCCATTCCCCTGTTCTCCACTTCCAAGCATCGTCCCGTTCCCTTGTTCAGGATGGCACCATTCTACAATTAAAGGATATAGGCAAAATATGAAGAAAATGAAAGACACGGGGTCGCCTGTGAAGCAAGCCAGGCCTGTGTGGTGTTCAGGGGTGCAGCTGTGTCCTTGTGTATTGCTGGAAAGCTCACAGCACTTAGCTGAGTGGTAATGCCATTCCAACAATAAAAAAATTCCTGAAATAATCAATGTGAATTGAATGAGCAACCATTACCACTGACAACATGGAACCCTAGAACATCAGCAACTAAAGGACATTTGTAATGTTTAAATAGCGTGGCTGCACTCTGCCTTAGGAAGGTGGGACACGTCTGTAGAATGTGTATTATTTACACTCTGCTTTGGGACTAACATACTGATACCTCTCTTGCAGTGAGGGGCCCAGATCTGAACACCAATTTCATCACAGATTATCTGTAAGAAACAGAAATCTGGAAGTCATTGGCAGGGCAGGTTACATACACCTGAGGGTAGCAGAAAAGGAAACTTCTACTGAAATCATCCTAAAATGCTGTCCCTGCCCCTGATCCCTTTTAACCTTTTCCTTCTGCACTAGGACCTGGCACTCTGTGGCATGGGACCATTTCAGCTTTGTCCCCCACTGACACATGCCAAAGTGCCAGAGCCCATAGTTTGGGAAGCAGAGGAGCAGCATCGATGGCAGACCCATAACAAACCTGTATGAAATTCCAGCGCTTATGGAGGCTGCTCTTGACCTTCTCACAGTCGAGGAGCTGAGGGAAGCGGCTCTTCACATTATCTACCAGGCAGCGGGTATCGGGTAGGAGAGTCGTGGTTCCGAGGGCGCCGAGATGCAGGAATCCCTCCTTGGTGTAGCGTGCAAGCTGAGGGATATGGAAGGAGAGGAAGACAACCATTAGTCTCTTTGGAACATCATTAAAAAGTGATAAAGGAAAGGACATTCTTGCACAGCCCCAGGAAAAGAGCTGTGAGGAAGGTGCAGAACTGACAAGAGGAGAAGAATCAACTTTCTCCAGCCTTTTTTTGTTGTTGTTTTGGGAATTTGCTTTGCAGATGCAGGTGAGGAGCTGGGACACAGGGAATGGATAAGAATGACTCTGAGCCTCAAACCCATCACAGGGCAAACTCTTCCAGCCTCCTTTGGGCCTGAACACCCTGCATGTTGGGGCAATGGATGATTTCCCCTGGTTTTCAGGGAGCCAGCTGGCTTGGCCTGTGAATGATGTGGCTTCTGGCATGCCCAGTGAGCCAGCCTTGATTCGGCCTGTGAATGAAGCTGCTGATGTGACTGGCACAGCTACTCCAACAGCAGCAACACGAGTCAAAGAAGGGCAATATATAATTGGCCCCATTCCCCGAGGATGCGAGCCTAAATCTCCCCATGCTTTAGCCCTGAAGCAAAGGCTCAGAATCACAGCTATCCCCTGCAGTTTTCCCTGCATCCCACTGCCCTGTACTCCTCAGGACCCAGCTCAGCTGCCAAGGAGATGCAGGCTGGGAGCATCAGGCAGAACTGATGGCTCTCAGGGACAGTGGGCAGTGGCACGACTACGAAGGGCTCCTCCATTCCCAGGGTTTAAGGAATCCTACAGAAATATTCCCCTAAATATGCTTAAATTCAGGAAGAGATGAATGACAGCGGCCTGCCTTTTCTAGTTCAGGAGAGATATACACAGCTGCTTATTTAAACTATGAATCAATCCATTATCCAGCAAACAATTAGGGAGTATTCAGCACATTAATTAACTGGGCATATCTATGACCCAGATGCTTAAAAAGAGACAGTAAATCACACTGGGAGTTTGCATTATCTCAGTTAGAGTAATTAAACACTGAAAATGAAGTTAAGCCAATGAAACAGGGTCTGACTCTGGCTAGTAATCACAGACACAGTTATGGTGCTTGGAGCTGATTTTGCCTCCCCTGCTCCTGGCTGTAGGTTTAGGTGTGCTGAATCCTCTGTCTAGGCCCTGTTCTGCCCGTCCTCCTTGAGGAAACTGCTGGTGGAGCTACCTTTTATTCAATGTGCTGTGTACTGAAGCAAGAGCTGTGCTTCTTTAAATCTCACAGAGGTTCACTTGCCAAAGGTATTCAGCCGGGAGAAGAGAAGGCTCAGGGGAGATGTTGTAACAGTCTTTCAATACCTAAAGGGGACCTATGAGAAATCCAGAGAGGGACTTTTGACAAAGACAAGGGGGTATTACTTTAACCTGACAGAGGTCTCTTCAGCTTTACAGTAATCTGCCCTCCAAATTGCTGTGCAGGGGTGGAAAGGAGCAGAGCCTGCAGAGCTTAAAGTCATATCCATCACCAACTCCTCCTCTTACTGATTCACTGTCTCTCCCAGGCATGGGATACCTGACTGCAGGTCAAGGATCCCATCCACTTCCAAGCTCACGCTGGGCTAGGCTTCCAGCAAGGGCATGAGGCTGCAGCAACCTGGGAATGACCTCTGGGCATTCAGATGCAACTCAAGTGAATTAGCATTGAGCACCAACACAGAGGATGATGCCACTTGTCTTGCACAAAATAAGAGGTTTATAAGACAAAAATCCCCATGGCAGAAGAAATCACCCAGAGGTCCGAAATGGGCACTGCAAGTTATTCTCCTCATGTTCCTGAAATGTTTCCTACCGTGTACATAATCAGTGTGCTAGACACCTTCTTTTTTCATGATGTTCAGCAGCTTGTCTCCAGACAGTTGGCCTAATGCCCACAAGGCAACACGATCTCTGCTCTTACACATTATCGCCTAATGTGGTGGGAAAAATAAGTAGAGCAAAAATCAGATCTTTCCTGAGGAAGGGAGCGGGGCAGGGGCTGAAGGGAGACAACACGAGCTGAAAACCAAATGCAGGGCTTATGGAAAATGCATTAAGTGCATCTATTAGATGTGTCATCTACCATGTATAACAGCCAGATAAATAAAGCCCTGAACACGACTGGACCTAACACACTGCTGATGCCTGATCTACTCTGCCAGAGCAGCAGAGGCTCAGCAGCAGCCGCTGCAGCCTTCAAGGCTGTCCAACCACCAAACCTGAGAGTGACTAATCCCAAAAAGTCCCATCTATTTTGCCAGTGCAAGCTTAGAGCTCCTAAGGCATTTATGGATTTTTCTGGGCCCAACACTAGAGAGGCAGCCTGGGGAGCGCAGCTTCAGCCTGGCAGCATTTTCTACCTGGCTTTGCCCAGTAAGAGAAGTGATGGGAAGCGCCTCCAACTCATCACCACGTAGTGCACTGACCAACATTTTTAAGAGCAGTGGGCCTGTTCAAGTCCTTGAGCCTACATTAGAAACTGAATATACCCCATGAATGCTTTATAATATCAGTAAATTACATGTATTGTTGTTATTAAAACTTTCTCAGTGGTTGCAGCATTGCACCAACTCAACATTACAAGCAAACTTGCCTGTTTCCAGGCAGCCAGCACAGCCCTGGACAATGATCTCTGTTTAGTGAATAAGATCAGAGAATCATAGATTGGTTTGGGTTGGAAGAGTCCTTAAAGCTCATCCAGATCCAACCCCCTGCCACGGGCAGGGACAACTTCCACTAGACCAGGTTGCCCCCTGCCAATATATCTGTCCTTTAAAGTGATCTGTCCTACATTCCACTGCCTGCTAAGCAGGTTTGCCAGCTCCAAAAAGCAGACCAAGCCAGGCACGACCTCAATAGTGAAGAATACAGACAGTCCAGCCAGAAAAAGACAAACATGGAGGTACCAGCCTGAGGAAACACCTGAAGGTGTTACCAGCCTGGCACAGGAAAGGGAAAGACCAAGAGAAAGGACCAGAGAAAACCAGTTTAAAAGTATTAACGTTTATATATATATATATATATATATATATATATATATATATATATATATTAACATATGACCATTTAAAAGTGGTTAATACTGATGAGGTCTTAAACCTCTTTATCAAGAGTAGCCAAAAGCCACATCCCCAGACAGAAACACTGATCCATACCCACAGCCTCTTATGAACAGATAAAACTGCATCTTGCAAAGCTTCAGGTACCACTTTGGGGAGCTACTTGGCCTTGAGGGGTCCGACAGCCCCCACTGATGCTGTCAGAGCAGTGGGCGCACGGCCCCACATGTTCGCAGTGGATCACTTGCACTCATCTCCCATCTTCAAACTTCCACCAGCAATACATCTTCTTTAATTATTATTGCTGGCTGGCTGCATCTCAGGGATGAGAGGAAGTTAATTAGATGTCTTAGCACCTGGGAAATAAAAGCCTTGATGACCTTCATTGACTCTATCGGAAAATAATTTAGGGCTGTTTAGCTTCCTTTTTGCACTGAGCAGATCATCAAT